TATAGATACTAAACGTTTCTATTATTTTTTGTAATGGGAGATGTTGAGTAGGTAAGAATAAAAAAAATACTCCGTACATATTGGAAACAAATCTATGTACAAAATTCCAAGTGTGGTTCAAGAGATAATTTTCATCACCGCATTTCAAGATTATCAATTCAAAGAAATGTAGAATTAATGAAAGTGAATATATAAAAAAAACATAATGTACCATCTCATTAACTTGTTTTAAAAACAAATAGGCGGCTAATAACATATTCTTCATTTGGTAGGGATAAAAATGTTAAATTTGGAGAATTACTCGAAAGGAAAGCATTTGGTAAAATCTTTGTCAAGTAGCCAGATACGTGAAATACGTTGAAAGCTACTTCGAGAGTGTTTGAGATAAAATATAAAGGATTACAAATTTTTTTATAAGGGAAGAATTGTGTGAGCCGAATGTAAATGGCAAGCTAACAACTTTGTAAGAACATCACATAGCTGTACATCAATATAGTTGAGGCCAATTGCTTAAATTTTCACCTTGATCTAAATATCTAATGATCTCCCCTTCCTTTGTTTCTCTTACTTCAACATCCTCCCACTTGAGGACGTACCTATAACAAAATGAGCTCATCATTTAGCAATTGAATCTATATTGTCATTGCTCTCTGATTTAAGTTTAACATAAATCAAAAAATGAGTAATGAGTTCTTTCAAAAATATTCCAAACAATATACCGAAGACCAAAAAAGTCAAAGCGAGCAACTTACCTTGCGAGTTAATAGATTGTTCTCAAATCTCAACAATGTCTTGGAAGCACTGATTCTACAACTCTGGGTTAAAAAATACAAAAACAAAAGTTAAAATTTGCTTGAGACAATGAAATTAACTTATGCTTATGCCTAATATCTTATATAACATAATTTACTTTTACTATCAATTTTTGAAATGCAAAATTTGATTCTAAATAACCATGATAATGTAAAAAAAGATACATATTCAACTCAAACACTTGGTATGAACAACTCTTATTAGGATGTATGTGAAAAAACAAATGGATATGAAATTTGGATGATCAAGTGGAGGTGTCTTCAAACTTGCATGCTCATATCTTCAAATGCATTGGCAGGCACTACCATACCTGACACTTGGGGTACCAAGTCTCTTCGGATACTCCCAACTCATGCTTAGAATGTAATTTTCCAAGTATGAATTCTTTCTGGAAGCTC